CGCTCAAGACAAATCTGACCATTTCTAGGCAGCACAGATGTGCTTTAATAATTAGTTTGTTTAGTTGATTAGCTTTGCAAGGTCAAAATTAGGTCAACCTACACCAAGGAGTTCCAAGTACTGATTTACTACGCGGAATGAGTTTGGAATTAGCTGGTTACCACCATTAAATATGTCAAAAAAAAAAACCTTTAGAAGATTTGAAGAACAGTTGCAAAGAAACCGACTCCTTCCTGAAGCCATTAGAAAAATGTAAAGCTTGATTAGGAAATAAAACAAAATAAAGTTCTATGACAAAGACTCACTGAGGTTTGATTGTAAACATGGTGAAGCCTATTCTCATAGCAGTGTTATGTGCCTTAGAGACCCAGCAGCCTGAAGGCCCAGCTGCCTCTGCACAGGTCAAAACCTGAGCTTTCAAATTGTTGCAGTCACTCACCCGGCACAACATGAAGAGAGGCTGAACGACACTGAGAGGCAACAGGATTTTTAGCTCCTGTTTCAATGTTCTTTCATTTACTTTAACTTTTCAAAACCCTAGTTAGGGAGGCCCTGATTTCTTAGGCAGACAGTTTCTCACTAGGCTCCAGAGACTGCCTAGACAAACAGGAGAGTCCAGGGCAGCGTTTCCTCTCGGCAGCCTTCCCAACCTGCTGGGCCCAAGCCTCTGGGGTCACAACCCTGCAAACCCTTCCCTCAGCGCTGCCATGAGGAGAAGCAAAAGAACAAGTCATTTATGGTGGGAAGCATGGCTGATACCAGTGATGATAACCTTGAAGTTCAACTCCGGATCTTGGAGCAAGACACCAACTTCATCAGAAACAAGAATGCCTTAGTTTGGCCACTTATGAATGTAAAGCACGTTTTAAAATGAGCACCCTCTTTAGAAAATGAATACGTGGCATATTAGATATGTCTGAAATTAACGGAAAAACTAGGAAGGAGCCTTGAATGTTAAACAATTAGCAGAGAGGGGTGTTTCTGTGTCACAGAATCAGACCAACAGTGGCTTCTGGAGCTGAGGTGCTGAGGACAGAGTGAGACATCAGCCTGGGCCTGGGTCTCTTGGGAAATCTAGGGAACCCCAAAGGCAGAGCCTGTGCTCTGTGTAAACAAGTTCTTACTATCACTGTCGTGTGCAGTGCTCAGACCCCAGGCCTCAACCATGCGCTACCCCCTTCAGTTATCAGCCTTCCCCTTTCAGTTATCAGCGCCCCTAAGACGGGGGCAGACATTCCAAGACAGACGTTTGCTGTAGGTGCCTCAGGAGAGCCTTATTAACTAACACAGTGAAAACCTCTCCAGTACAGAAGGCACAGTCACACGTTCCCGCAGTCCCCATACTGGAGAAGGTACGCTCAAGGCCAGCTTGGGCTCCTAGTGAGACCTTGCCTCAGGAGAAAGTGACTAAGTGAGCAAGAGCGAGAGTAAGAAACAGGTAAGCAGAGTAGTGTGCAGTGTTCAGGAAACAATGTGAAGGCCACTTAGCTGCCTGCCAATCTTCAACAGTCCAACACCGGATGGGGACTTTGCTCTCGATCTGACCTCACTCTACTGGGAGGCTCTGCACACCCTGACTTTGCTTCCCTACGAGGGCTGGTTGCTGGCCAGCCTGTCAGGGCAAGGTCCTCTTCCTACAGCAAGTTGTGAGCCTGGCTTTATTTTGCTGGGCTCCCCAGGAAGCTCAACAGAGGACAGCCTGACCCCATTCTCAAGACACTGGAGAGCAACCACCGCGGCACTCATCCTCTCCCCAACAACCGCCTCCAGAGTGACGTTCTACAGGAATACTACCACTTTAGTCCGAGTTATTCTAGTATATAATGACTGCCATAATTTTTTCCACTTAGAAAATTGCTTTTATTTATGTGTATATGTCTGTGTGGGGGTATGTACAGATGTGTGCTCAAAGAAGCCAGAAGAGGGTGCTGGATGTCCTGGAGCTGGAGTCACAGTCGTCGTGAGCTGCCATGTGAGTGCTGGGAAGAGAACCTGGGTCCTCTGGGAGAGCATAGGTGATCTCAATTGCTGAGCCACTCTTCTAATCAGCTAATAATTATATGCAGTATGAAAAATTGGAAAACTCATAATTAGAAGAAGATAATCAAGAGAAACATATTTAGGATTGGCTCAGAGAGGCAGCAAATACAGACCTTAGAAATGATTGCAAATATGGGTAAAGGGGAAAAACACTTCTAAAACCAGTACTTTACATTTTGTTTTTTGTTTTGACCAGGTGGTAGTGGCCCATGCCTTTAATCCCAGCACTCGGGAGGCAGAGGCAGGAGGATCTCTGTGAGTTCGAGGCCAGCCTGGTCTACTGAGTGAGTTTCAGGACAGCCAGATGTACACAGAGAAACCCTGTCTTGAAAGCCAAAAAAAAAAAAAAAGTAATTTTTTGTTGTTGTTTATTTGTTTTTGAGACAGATCTCACACCACAGACTAGGCTGGTCTCAGTGTTGCTGTAATTCTCCTGCCTCATTCTCCTCAGTGCTGGGATTAGAGGCACATGTAACTATGCCCAGAGGAGAAGGTTTCCTAAACTGGTGAGAAGCTGCACTGGAGAGGTGCTCAGCACAGCAAGCAAGCCCACAGCTACATGAACAAAATGAAAGACAAGCTAGAAATGCAGATGGGCCGGGGAGACGCTCAGAAGGAGAGAGCCCTTGCTGTGCAAGCACGAGACCTAAGCTGAAGCCCAAGCATGGCTGTGTGCCTTTGCGGTAGTAGACCTTGGAGCAGAGGCAAGCGGATCTCCTGGCTTCAACCTAGCTTAGAAGTTGAGTTTCTGCTTTAGTGAGAGACTTTGTCTAAGGCAACACGGAGGCAGGTGACTGAGGACACACCAGTGTTCTTTTCTGGCATTCACGCATGCATGCACGTGCACAGATGCACACACACCATACATAGAGAATAAAAAACAAACAATTTTAACAAAACTAGAATTCATAGGGTGAAGCTATTTGTCAGTAGGTTCTAGCAAATTAAAACTGCTTTGAAATGTCAATGCTGTGTGTACATGTGTAGGCAAGCGAGGGGGTTGTGCAGTTGTGCAGGAAAGGTGTTTACTCATAGAAGGTTCTAACCTGCAGCACACATGCTGTGAAAATTAAACCCAAAGGGTGTTCTTGTTATTTTGAAAAATTCAATTTTCTCTAGTTTCTTAATTAGGCCCAAATTTGGAATGTCTCAGGAGAAAAACACTGTGCATGTATTTAAACATGCTCAACTCCTTAGAAACTGTGTATTTGTCACTAGGTATTCTAGTTTCAGAATGAGAAAGGCATTGAGTTGTTCTGAAGTTTATTCTTCCAAGTACAAATCCACAGACTTTGTTCTCTCTACTTAAAACCAACAACAAACTCCCGCACTCAGTCCCCACGCTGCCTCCCAGCTGTCCCCCTCCACCATCACCAGCTCTGCCTATTGGTAACACTGCCCTTCACTAATCTGACACCTGTCCTCTGAAATACGCCTGTGCTGGATTATTCTTCACGAACACAGAAGCTGTATCTTTAGGAGCAGCTGCAGAGACCATGTTCACACAAACAGCTCCAGAGCAAAGGAGTGAGCCAGGCTTCAGATGACGAGATGATTAGGAGCATTAGGTGCAGTGTCCTAGTGGTACCAATCTCCTGGTCAAGTGAGCATGGGAAGGAAGGGGTTTGCTGGAAATGCAGATGCTTATCCAAACATCTTAGTTCTCTCCAAGAGACAGGGTTTAACAACTCAAAGATCTACTTTTCTTTTTTCTTTAAAGGATTTCCTTATCATTATGTGTGTGCAGGGCAGGGGACAACTTGTGAAATCAATTCCCACCTTTCACTTTTACGTAAGTCTTAAGGATTAAACCCTTTACTAGCTGAGTCATCTCTCTAGTCCAGGATTTTGTATTTGCTACAAAGAAGCGACGCATGGCCTACTTCCTCAGCTAAATCTAGCTCTGTCTGTTTGGACTGCACATGGATTCAAAAATTTCCATCCTCCTCTCGAACAATGGCTGCTAGACGTCTGGCTCACCATATCTAGAATGGAATACATTTCAGGCTTGTTTCAGATGCGCCTGTATCTGACTCTGGCTAATTGCACACCTGTACTGTCCTATGTGTTCTCTGGCTGACTCGTACAATCCCACTAACAAGGCTTTTGTGGAGTCAGGGGGATAAAGCACGGCAGAAGTTTCTACTCCTCTTCAGTAGAATGCAGCATCAAGCCAACCTGGACGACTGTGAGAACAGAGTAACGAATGCTGCCCAATGCACACGGGCACTCTGCCTGCCATTGCAGGAAGATGCATTTGATTTAAAGTATGTGGAAGAAAACTCTCAGAAGTGCTAACATTCAGTACTACATAGGAATATCTGCTTCTCAGCTAAAACCTACCATAATTCCCTGACAGTTTGGGCTTAACATGGCTGGATTCCTCCACACAAGCATGCTGTCGACACAGATAGAATTAGGCTACACAGTGGAACTTTGTCTCCACAAGCGGACAGACCTACAAATGTGTATTTGGATCTGCCTACCATTTCAAAGGCCTCATCTTTTCTTCTGTGCCAGAGCTGAGTCCGTAAACATATCTAAATTAAGACCAACAGGGAGGCACAGCATAAGAACTTTTGTTTTTGAAGACCAAGTGGAATGTTCTCCACTAAGTATGATAGATAATAACCAAAGGAGGAAAGGAAAATAAAAACCAAGATTGCCCACTACTGTCTACTAACTAAACTAGCTGTAGGAGACAGGGTCTTTATAGCTGTGGCTGTCCTTCATCTCCCGAGGGCTGAGATTACGGGCGCTCATCACCACACCCAGCTGCGGGGACTTTTCTGAAGTCTACTCATCTGTTAAGCAGATCTGTCCAGCGACAGCAAAGGCAAAGACAGACTGTCAATGGCAATAGCCGTTTTCATTTATCACAAGCCTGGTAATTAATTCATTACTCTGCCAATCAGCTGCACTGCTAGTCAGATCTGTGGAAGTAGGAAGGGGTGGCTTACCGTGCACATGGCTGTCTTTGTGGTTCTCAGTGTAAAATCTGAAGAAAACTCCAAGTCTGAGATACATGTAGTGTGGCAATCTATATGCTTCCCAGCAGAAAGAAGAAAGAAAAAGATCAGTAAACAGGAATAACAAAGTCTAGCTAATACACCGCAGCTGTAAACCAGTGTTGCCTAATTCCTAATCACAAGCCAGCCTGAAGATTCTTCCCACACTAAAGGAACATTAACAGTTAGCTAATGTTTCTTTAAGTCAAGTTCGTATCTTCTACTTTGACTTCTGGAAGCAGTATTATCTATGCAGTCACACGCGGATCTGTCTGTTAGCTTTGCTAACACACTCCAGACTTCAAATGTAAAACCTGGTGTTCTTCCCTCCACTGAGATCATCTTGCATACCAGCACTGCACACCGCCCTCTCTGCTAAGTTTCAGGTTATGACACTAATCTTCGAGGAAATACCAAGTTGAAAACATATGCTGCTGAAGGGAAAGACTGTCAGAAAAATTCATCTCTCAATGAATTTAATATGCATGTTAGATAGTAGAAAAAGCCACAATAATTCAAAAGTTAAGATTCATCTTGGAGAGAAACAGCCCATTCCTTTCTTTGTCTTCTGCCCTGACTAAAGCTCAGGGAACGGCTGTCAAGTGATAGAATTTAAGTCACAGCCTGGTCATCACAGTCTTTAAGATAGATGAAGAAAGATTTTAAAGAGAGTTACATAGTGTGGGGGCTTTTAAGAGTGGGAAGAATGGGAGGAAACAAACAGTGCTGAAGAGGCACGCTTGATGTCACAGAGCATCTACTGAACACCCTGGGGTTTCAGTCCTGAACCAGCTACTTCAGCCATTCACAGTTGTTTGGGGATGAAGAAGACAGCACCAGGAGAGAACTCAGCACTCCCTCCCACTACTCTCTTCTTGCTCTGCAACAGGGCCAAAGCAGCACTAACTGTCCCCCTCTGCTCTGTGCAAATAGCTCCCCACATCTCTTCCTACCAGGGTACCAGGGCAGCAGCATGGAGCAGGCTAAGAAACTCAATGTGCCTCTTCACTGTTAAGCTATGGTGAACCCATGTAAAATCATCACAGTAATGCTATTATTATTATTTTTTTTTTTTGGTTTTTCGAGACAGGGTTTCTCTGTGGTTTTGGAGCCTGTCCTGGAACTAGCTCTTGTAGACCTATAATTAACATGGACAAAAATAAAACACAAAAGGACTTAATGAGAATTTTTCAGGTAAGTTCACGGTAATTAATCTAACGAGTCTGGAAAAAATCAAACAAGTTAAACTGTGTGATGGTAATGATGTGATACCAGGTGGTCCAGGTGGTGGTGAGGCAGATGCCAGCACTGCAGAGGTGGGCCTCTGCCTTCAGGAGGCCAAACTACTATAAGTGAGTCAAGCAGCTCCAGCACTTGGATCCGAAGGCTGATAAATGGAATAATGAGAAGTGACTCTACGCAACCACGGCCCAGAAGCGAGCCTCATCCCGTTTTTAGACTAAATTAAAATCAGGAGGCCCATATGGAAAGCCAGTAAGCAGGCATCCTGTATTGTGGCCCCATCCCCTTGGATTCGGGCAACTGTGGACTGAATGTATCACCTCTGTGCAGACATCCACCTTCTAAAACGCTCTAAACTAAACAGCACTCACTCGGCAGTAAGAGAAGTAAGTGATGATTTGAAGTGTACGGCAGTACGCATGCAGGCCAATGTATACACGCCCTCATTTTGCACATGTGTAGATTGTAGCATGTGTATCAATCCTAGCATCAAGTCCCACAGACACAGAGGGAATGCTCACACCTACCTTTATATCACAAGGATCTGAAATAAGAGTCTTATGATCTACAACTTCCACAACAGCTTCTGGAATAACTGCCTTCTTCATGCAGGACATGTTGAAGCCATAGACGTCATCCCAGAAGGCAATTCTATCAGCATGCTTGCTCACGTCACTCACGGCCACTAGGCTGATGGTGCAAATGTCAGGGTAGACTGGAAGAAAGAAAATACCCATATATGTAGCATCTTCTCTTCACTTAGAGGATAGTTTTAAATGGCTAATTATAAATATCAAACCTGTCTGTACAGAATACTAGCAAGAAGAGATCAATGAAGACAGAGACGGGGAGACAACCAAGTTCCCAGAGTGTCTCTAACCATAATGGTAAAATTAGCATCCCCAAAATGGCCTCCTAATAAAATTACTAAAACAATTTTGAAATAAACATATTCATGTTAAAACCTAAAATATGACAACTTAAAAATGATTTCATATATTCCTCTAAATTACACATAAAGAGACAAACGATCTGGAAAAGTATGTAATGTCACAGGGTGAGGGGATCACAATGGAGTTTTATGGGCAGAGAGAGAACCAGTTCATACTATAGTTTTATTTAATATAAAATGATTGCTAAATGTATGCCAGTCTAAATAAAAGACCGTGGATACAAATTTCTACCTTCAAGAAACTTGTATGTATCTATTTATTTTGAAACAGGATCTCATGTAGCCCAGGCTGGCCTCAAAAGAGAAAGCACAAGACATTGTGGATCACCCAGCGAAATCAGTAGGGGAAGCAGGCTACCATGTAAGAATGGAAACCAGCTCAGAAGTGGGGTGAGTGGAGTGCTCTAGCAGAGGAGAGAGCATCAGTCACCATTAAGGGGTGGCACTGCCTTCTAACTAGACAGGTGGAGAGACAAGGCTCAAAGGGGTCTCGACAAACCACTGCAGTGAACTGGAATTCATTTTAAGAATGATAACTCAGTGAAAATTCAGAACAACCATTTTAAGTGCGAAGTAAAGAATGACTGGGAGGAAAATAGACAATTTCAGAAACGTTTAATGATTCAGGAGGTGAAAACCAGGCCGGTGGCTAGGGCAGGAAGAGGAAATAGATCTGAAGGACAGTTGGGAGGTAGAACTCAGCAAACATGGGCCAGGAAGAGGAGGAATCGTGAGCAATGCTTGGCTTTAGCAGCTGAGCAGACTGTCCACTGTAAAAGGGCACTGATCTGGGCAGATCAGGAGGAATGAGTACGTTGCTTCTGGCACCGATGAAAATGCCAATGAGCAGATGAAATATTCAGGTGTGGAATTCTAAGATACAAAACTGAAGACTCTGAGCATGCACACTGTAAAATCATGCACAGCTGAATCGGATGAGACACAGCAGCAGATATGTCATCAGCACCAGAATTTATGGCATAGGAGAAGCAGCGAGAGGGGCTGAGAGGGCACAGGGAAGGGCACTAGAGGGGCGTTGGGAAACAGACATGCTAGTGATGGGAACGGCTGTTGCGACACAACACACAACTTCTTTCTATGACTAACATGGAAATTAACTTTTCCTATGAAGAGGGAATTCATAAATCAAAAAAAAAAAAAATTCAGCTCCATGTTCCCATATCAGATGACAACTGTTAAATAACCACAGAAACAGTCGGGTAAGCAGTCAATCTTCAGACTTTGAGATTGCCCTCTACCTCGCCCTTAGAATCTGTATTCTTCAAACCTCTAAGTTATCTTTAGAATAATGGCCAGGATAAGATCTGCATCCCAGGGACGCGGGCTCTAATGCTGCCTCACAGTTCAGCTTCTGCAGGCATCACCAAGAGCCATGCACAGGAGTATGCTGGCTAACCAGGGCCTCTTCCACCAGCATGCCAAGCTCTCTGGCTGGTTCCATTCTGAGGAATGTGAGCTTGTTACCAGGACGCTGACTAACAACAGACCGCCACAGGCACTACGGTTAGCCTCTGAGCCACATCTCAACAGGGGACACAACGACAAAGGCTGATCCTGAGGCAGAGCAGCAGCACTGGGCATCTCAGCAGCTCCTCACACCCTGTATGGAATTTGGGCCACAGCTGCAGCTTTCTGCAGTAGGGCCTGAGGAACACAGGAAGGTACAGTCAGGTTGGCAGACATCTTTTGTAAAGTCATCACTGCAGGCTTTGGAAGCCATTTGTTTTTTGTTGAAATGACCACTTTCTGTGGTTACTGTGAGAGCAGAATGGCTGTGTTCAATAAAGCCTTGTTCATAAGGCAGGCGGTGGGTCAGACCCAGAGGCCCTGCCAGAGAAAAGTGGGTGACAGTGAAGGTGAGATTTACCAGGACTGCCTCTGTTAGGAGTTCCCACAGTTCATGGGAACTAAAGGTAACGCAGCATTGTACATGACATGGGCAGTCATGTGACTTACTGCAGCTCACGAGCAGTTCAGAGCATGAAAAATCCTCACGGAGTTTGGCAAACCACAGCTCACACATCAATCCAGTGTGCTGCATGGGTTTGTACACTCTCTATAAGACCACTGCAGTAGCAAGCTTACCCATCATCCACAGCGGCACTGTGCTACGGTGCCAGAGCTAAGAGAGGGCAGGAATGTGGCCTGTCACAGTGACAATACAACCTGGACTTTCACCAAAAGTCACTGATCTGCCACCTCCTCAAGTCGTGTGCTGTGCTAGGAACACCATGGAGAACAAAGATGGCCCTTTCATGAGGAAAACTGTAACTGACTGCAAGCCAGGCTTAGAGGAAAAAAAATCAAGAGCAGAATGGTTCTTTTCTAAGCGCTGAGGCGCAGTTTTCAGGCTAATTATATTTCAAAGATATAAAAATCCTGGTGCTTATTTTTGAACTCAGAAATGACTTTTTCAGTTCTCAGAAATGCATGAATAATCCTAGAGTGCTAGAGGTCATTGGGTTCGGATCCACTCTGGCACCGCTGCCTAAGTCCTGGGCCCCTGCCAGGACTCCACTACCTTTACCTTCGGTCACACACATCTGTCACTCAGTTTGGGTGGGTTTTGTTTTGTGTCATAGAAGCCATAAGTGAATAATTATGCCTGCTTGTAGTGAAATCGGCCAAATGCTGATTGGGCAAAAGCAGCCAGTTACCAAACCATTTATAAATCCATGGCTTTGACATCTGTGTCCTTCTCGATTCACTGCCCAGAATTCATCTGTCACTGGAATGGCTCACGAGGTGAGCAGACCAAGATGGGAACTCCTTCATCTCTAGGGAAGGCCTCACAAACTTCTGGGCCCTAAAGGCCGAGACTGAGGAACGAGAATACAATTCCCATGAAACACTGGCACACAGGAGCCAAAGCACTGGAAACACTCGCCGATATACAGAGCGAGAGTAACTTAGAAATGAGATAGTCACTGGGAACTACACCTGTTCTTCCACATCACTACCTTATAAATAGTGACCCGCTCCATTAAAGTTTACATAACCTAATACGAAGATAGAATATGCTCTGGAAACTCTGCTCTGAAAAAAATAAACATTATCAGCATATTTCTAAAAAGAAAAAAAAACCCAAAGTAACAAATGTGGTTCAAGTAGACAGTTAAGGAAAAATAGCATAGGAAACTTTGAGCCCCAGCAACCAGGCTCCATGGTGAGAGTCGATGTGCTGGCCGAAGGTGTCATGTTCCAAGCCATTTCACCACTGTTTAAGGCACCTGCCAATGCTGCTCTTGTTTCCAGCAAGAATGCAAGAGACTTAATATATAACAGAAAACCACTTTGAACCAGGTGCTTTGTCTAGACTTTGAGATGACTGTCTATAGCTGGGTTATAATCATCATTTTACAAAAAAGGAGATGGAGGTAGGGAGGTAATGCCAAAAGAAGCAGTCTTCATTTGCTAAGAAGACAAACCCACCAACTGATACACAAATCTTGAGGTCTGTCTAGAGACACCCCAGACTTCCCCCTTCATGCCAGCCCATTGCCTTGTTCTTCAAATGGAAGATTTCCACCCTCCTAAAGCAGGAGAGTATTTGTTAGCCGGGAAAGGAGAAAGAGCAAGTACATTTTAACTATTAATAAAACTGGGCAAAGCAGAAATGGATGGGCTTGCTCACTTTGTGGAGTGACTAATGACAGGACGGAAATAGAGGTGAAAAGGCAACAGCCCAGTGGCTGAGAGAACAGGAGGCATCGAGGGACAGATGCTTGTGAGGCAGCTTGGTGTGCCCAGGTCAGACACAGGGCTGAGGCTGCTGCAAGTGGTGTTCCAGCTCTGCGGCTCGTCAGGAGGCAAGTGGCAGAAGCTGGCTTTCTTCAGTCTAAAGGAGGCCAGGCTGGTTAGGGAGAAAGGCTCTGGTAAATGGGTACAGAGACAGTGTCATGTCCAGGACACCTACAGTAATGTGTCAGTCACAGGTCCAGCCATGCAGCAGTTTCTGGCCGCATCACTCTCAGCTACCACGCTCTGCAGCATTCCTGCGCTTTAATAAGCCCTCTTTCCCACTGCCTGGAGTGAATTCTGTTTCTCCTGACAAGTCCTCTTACACATGTATTATAAAGAGAAGGGGCACTGAAAGTAAACTCTGCCTCTGGATTGCGTTCAAAGGCCTCTTCCATGAAGCCCAAGCACCTGTATTTTAACCAAAGCCCCTCGTGAGCATGTGGAGCCCTGGAAAGTAAATCACAGTGGTGAGCTTGGAAGTGAATAAAAGCCCGAAAGAGCCCAATGCATCAGGGCTCTTAGCACTGGGACCTGCTTCCACAGTCCAGGACAGGGAAATACAAATGAAAAAAACAGTTACTTCCTGATGGAGGAAGATCAATAGATTCTCAACTTCCTCCTGCTAAAAGTGATGTTAGAAACTCTTGCTGATTTTGAGCAAATTACAGAAGTGAATTACTTCTCCATGCTATTAGCAGATACAATTTCAATCTCTTCCTCTCCTGAGCATGTCAGCTTTGATTTCTCAGGGTGGTGGGGCTTCCACACCAGAACTTACTCGCTTTGCCCTGCTATAATTAGCAGACATTTCACAGAGGATCTCTGAAAGCAGTAAACATCTCATTCTTCAAGTTCCAGTTACTTATTTAGTCATTTGTATTTGAAAGAACATTCTCTTGTTTTTATCAAGGGTTATAGGTAAGAAAAGGAAGCACAGGTACAGAAAGATAATATTAAAACTCTGCAGACAACTGAATTGTTTACACAGGAAATCCTTTTAGAAATAACTACCAGGCTCAGCAAAATCATAGGACATCAGCTTAATAAAACCAAGCATTTTTAGTTCCATAGCACAGGCAGGCGAGTGAGAAACAATGCCTGCAAGGCCAGCATTGTAAGGGCTCACAGACCAGGGGGCTCACAGCTATTTCCTAACTGTCCTATTCACCAATGCCATCTTAATTCCAAGTCTTTCTAAAGCAATGTGGAGGTAAAAGGAGTGAGAGAAACTGAGGAAGGCGCCCTGTATAGAGATCTGGCCTTGTCCCGCTCCACTGCTTTCTTCCTCTCTTCCTCTGGGTGTGTAATAAAGGTGGTGTGATCTTGAAGTGAATCATAAACTCAATAAAAACACCAAAACTTCCAGAAGGACGTAGGAAGACCCTGTGTGACTTCAAGGAAAGTGTCCTCCAATGAAGCATGCGCACAACAGGACAGAGGCAGCACCTGTCAGCTGCCCCATCCTTGTCCGTGAGCTGTCATTCAACTCTTCGCCCAGTGTTCCTTCGGCTTTGCTGGCTGCTTGCTGGGAGGATCCACCAATATGTCAGGAATTAGGCTCATGGTAAGAACTGGATGAATTCCCCACTTTAGTCCTTGTGACTCTGTCACGTGGGGATTTACACATATAGTCAACATCACAAATCATTCTAAATCTAAGTTCCCAGAAAACTCTTCCCTCAAGTCTAATGTGTTTGCACTCTATGTGACTCACTGGTAAATTACAACGGTCAATTTATTATCTAGATTAAGCTGTTTGAGGAAGGGTTGTCTGAAGGTTTTACTATGTGGCCCAGGCTGGTCTTAAGCTTCGGGGCCTAAGTATTCTTCATGCCTCTTACGTACTGAACTACAAGAATATACCAATAAGACCAGGTAAGCCTCTAATCTGCTTCCACCTCCCAAAGTGCTGGGATTATAGGTGTAAGCCACCATACTTGGTTTTGCTTTATTTTTAAATAAAATTATAACTTCCTATATTTTATGAGGTGCTAGTTACATCTGTGACTATAATGAGATTTTCAATTTTCTTAATTTGTCTCCCATACAAGAACCAGTAACGTCTGGTTTTATTGTCTAGACTTCAGGATGCACTTTTGCATACAGCAGGACCTTCCTCCTGTCCCTGCCACCACAAGGGCTTGCAACTTTGGGGATTTCTTGCCATTCCTGTTCACTTTTCCATATAAATTTCATAATCAGTTTAAATTAAAGACAAACCTGTTGGTGAGGACAACAGTAGAAACTTAGAAATTCTACTGTATAACTTTTAACATCAAAAAGGAAGAGATATACATAATTCTCACCTACAATTTTAAAAAGTAGTAGTAGTTTTAGATTTCCTCATATTTTGCAATGAGGTAGGGTGAATTGACATCTTCTGGCATTAATTCTCCTTATCCAAGAACTTAGCACTTCTTTACATTGATTTAAATCTTCACGGGGGAGAGGAGGAGACAGTGAACTTATATTCACATCATGGATGCATTATGGTCACGTGGGCCCACAACAAAATCATTCTTTTAAAAATTTTGACATTATGATTGCTTAGTAAGGATCCCTACAAGAAAAACATAAAGCAAAACTTCACAGCACACACGAGCATCTGATGGCAATATAAGCTCATTTCATGTCGCTCATAGTGAGTTTAGTTTTTCTCCTAATTATATTAACAAATAGCATTCCACAGCACTGCTCAGGCAGCTAAATGCCGACTCTTCTGACTACACCCCCAGATGATCCTAATGTTAATCAGTTATATAAAAATATGGACTGAGCTAGAATCATTAACCTCCTTTTTGTCCCTCCAGCTGCCATGGTCCCATGGCTGTGGGGACCTAATGAATCTCACTGAGCACTCAATTTAAATGCATTAGCTGCTGTCAGTTCTTCAGTGAGATCAATGGACACCACTGGGGAGGTATGGAGAGGGAGGAGGTGGGGGGGGGGTTCCCTAGAACCCCACAGCAAGAGTCAGATGCTTTAAATGCATTTTAATAGGGAAACAAGGTTTAGTGAAAAGAACATGAATAATGATTAGGTCAGGCAGATATGAGTTTAAAAATCAAAAAAGAAAAAGAGATGCAGGCTTGGCCGCCCAATGGTATCATCTTCCAGGACACCTTTTGAAACTGTTCCCCAAATCTCAAAGGCCTGTGGTGAAGATTATGTATAACATAAGCAATAGTGATGGTGACGACCACAGAGAATCATTAAGTGATACCATTTCCTTCAGTCACTAAAAAGACCACAAAAATCACAAATGTGCACTGTTTCAGGATAAAACATCTAAAATCCTAGCCAGGTTAACAGCAGAGATCAAGAACTACTTTAAAGTGAATGCCAAGAATATATGACAAGTGACCTAGAAAGAGGCAACACAGATGCTACCAGAGTGCTCCGCTGTCTGGAAGATCTGTCTTAGCTCTCCTGGTTTGGTCTGAGGACTTTCAAATGTACTGTCACTGCTAAGATTAAGAGTGGGAAACAGGAACTAAATGACACAGGGATTAAAAAATGAAAAGATACTTTAATTTGAATATTAAAAGCTTCCCACACCTAGCCCTTATGTTTCTATTAAACAAACAAACAAAAAACCTTCTAGTAAAAGATATCCTAAGAAACCACAGCCTTGGAGCCCCCATATCTTAAGTAAGCAAGGCTCCTTCCAATGGGAACATCTTTCATCTCTACTGACACTCAGCCATGCACAGTGTGCCTGAAGCTCAGAGGTTCACTTGGTTGCTCCACGCTGAAATCAGACTAAAACTGAAATGTCGTACTTACCCGATCCTTCTTTCGCCAAGTATTTGTTCTTTGCATAAAGGACAGAATCCAACATCGACTCGAAAAGAAGAAAATAGCCCTGTGCAGAAAGGAAACGACGAACGTCAGGAACAGGCACTGCACAGGAGACCCAGCAGAGCAGCCGATGGCTGTCACCTCTCTTCTCTGTCACACAGCTCTGCCCGTCACTGTATGGACAGTCAGTTCTATCCAGTGGCACTGGAAGGCCAGGCCTGGATGGGAAGTGGACCCATCGAGTTCTTACAGTAGCAAGTTCAGAACCTGCACCTGCAATTCCACTTTTCAGTCTACTGTTTCCCCCCAGAGTAAGGGGAACTTTGGGGAGACCTACAGCTCCTGGAATGTTACAAGGCTAATTAGGAGTAGTGGTCCTAATAGATTTTGTCTCCTGTCACTCTGGACACTCTCAGGCTCACACTGGGAATGAGGGTGGAAACACTATTGGTGTCCACTGGGCAGAGCTACAAGATGTTACCACACATCCTGCCATACACATGACAGGCACCACGATGACATACACCACGATGTGCCACCTGACCTAAAGTGCCATCTCCCAAAGCACTGTCTAGAGATCTTTCTTTGGTGTGCATACAGACAGCACTAACTGGACTCAGTGGGCCATTAAAAAGGGAGGGGAGGAGGCCAGAGACTGGAAGAGGGATGTCAGGGAGTAGATATAATCTAAATACACTGTATTTATGCATTCTCAAGAATTAGGAGCAGGAGGAACAGTCATTCATCATAGAGGTTCACAGGACACATTGGCACACCAGATGCTCTCGACAGAATAGGGCCACTGCCCATACTCTGAGCAAGTGTCACACTTTCCCACTGGGGTTTGTCCACTACTTGCGATGCAGCATCTTTAAAAAAGTGTTGCATGAAAGCTAGCTCAAGGAACAGGACCCTAGTACAACTAGATTTCAGGGAATGGTGGTGAACCCTTCCCAGGGAAAAGGTAATAATGGTGCACAGGGAAAGACAACACTCTTGGGGTCATAAGCAGGCCACATTCTAACAGCACCCGATACAGCATGTACTGTGCAGACAGTCACACACCTCATCTACTCTAGGGCCACAAGTTGACATAAAACTAGCTAATACCCTCAATACATTTTTCTTGAATTATTCATTTAATCAAACTAGATGAGAAAATATAAAATTTCTCAAAATGTCTTTATAATTTATAACCAAGGAAATACAATTTTAACTATTTGCTCAAACTATCCAAATCAGTTCCAGTATCAACTCTGAGGGTCTCCAGTAGAGTGACCAAGGGATGTAGCCACTCATGCACAGACACCCTCCACAGCTGCCAGGTCTCTGCTCCCCAGTTCCGCCCAGCTGTTACTGGCCAGAGAATTCCAAAAGCAAAGAAGAATTCCATTGTTCATATGCAGAGTTAGGCATAGCACCTGGCACCCGTGAAGACCAACATGTCTAACACAGACTCAGTGGTGATGGGCTTTGATCAGGGCTAAAGGGACAGAAAGTAAGAGCTACAGAAGTCAGTTCTTCCCATTTCTACCTCCTCTCCCTCTGTTCATGGCTCTCTCCGACAAAGATTTCCTTTCTAATGCAAGATTCTGCTCCCATATAAGCTTTCATTATGTCAAAGTCCTTGGTAAACCCTAAGTTAAAGAATAGAGAAGTTGGCCGGGCGATGGTGGCGCACGTCTTTAATCCCAGCACTCGGGAGGCAGAGGCAGGCGGATCTCTGTGAGTTCGAGACCAGCCTGGTCTACAAGAGCTAGTTCCAGGACAGGCTCTAAAACCACAGAGAAACCCTGTCTCGAAAAACCAAAAAAAAAAAAAAAAAAAAAAAAAAAGAATAGAGAAGTTGGCTAGGTGTGGTGAAGTGCACCTTTAATTCCAGCACCCAGGAGGATCTCTGTAAGTTTGAGGCCATTCTGGTCTATATAGCAAACTCCAGGACAGCCAGGAATACATAAAGAGACACCCCCCACCACCACCACCACACACAAAACCACCAACAAACAAACAAAAGGGGAGGAGCCAGGAATACAAAAAGAGACACCACACACACATAGACACATACAAACCCACCAACAAACAAACAAAAACTGGAGGAAGCAGCCAGTCAGTGGGAAAACATTCCCTCAAACAACGAATCATACATGTCACAGTGGGTACTCTGTTACACTACTGAAGACTCAGAGCTGAAATTCATAAGTAACTGCTTATCCTGCTATTCAGGTAATAGCTCAATTGCTAATCCATTTAAGTGAATTTTTCCAAAGTCACTATGTACGCTCTCTTCTTTGACGCTCATCCATATCTATGTCCTTGACTGTTTCTTCTCAGCCAATCATAAATGGGCCCACAATGTAGGTTTCAAGAAGTGCAAGCACCCATAAACAAAGGACATTGAGCCTATAATTAGTGATCCTAGAGAAGCTAAATAAGGAGAACCCAAAGAAAAACATATAGGCATCCTCCTGAATATTAACCTTCATCAGGCAATGAAAGGAGACAGAGACAGAGACCCACACTGGAGCACCGGACAAAAATCTCAAAGTACAAATCAGGAGCAGAAGGAGAGAGAGCACGAGCAAGGAACTCAGGACCGCGAGGGGTGCACCCACACACTGAGACAATGGGGATGTTCTATCGGGAACTCACCAAGGCCAGCTGGCCTGGGTCTGAAAAAGCCTGGGATAAAACCAGACTCGCTGAACATAGCGGACAATGAGAACTACTGAGAACTCAAGATCAATGGCAATGGGTTTTTGATCCTACTGCACGTACTGGCTTTGTGGGAACCTAGGCAGTTTGGATGCTCACCTTACTAGACCTGGATGGAGGTGGGTGGTCCTTGGACTTCCCACAGGGAACCCTGATTGCTCTTTGGGGCTGACGAGGGAGGAGGACTTGATTGGGGGAGGGGGAGGGAAATGGGAGGCGGTGGCGGGGAAGAGACAGCAATCTTTACTAAATAAATAAATTTAAAAAAATAAATAAATAAAGTGCCGGAGTGTGTGAGAAAAAAAAAAAGTGCAAGCACATGGTCCACACTGTGTGGAGCAGCAAGCTCTGCAGGAGCAATAGCATCCACTGCATGAGTGTCTACACGGCTACAGCGAAGGAGACTTGCCTTTAAAATGGTACAAAATAACATGGCCTATCTAAAGCGAGCTTCTGTTTTAAAACTGGAACTGCTGAGTACTAAGAGTGGTGCTGGCTGAGCTTTATGGAGAACATGTCATTTAGTTATCTCAGAATGCATTTGTCACTGCCATCACCTACTGAAGAAACTGAGGCAAAGAAAGGATAACAGCTTCAGACCTAGAAAGGAAATCCAGTCACACAACAGTGAGTGAACTCAGACTGATGACCCTGGTCTGATGACAGAAGCCGTGGTCTCAATTTCCACTTGATTTGCTTGACTGGAAGATTACATACTTGTATTAAGATGACATGGGTACTGAAGGACTCAGGTATTCTGAAACGAAAAACTGCCCACAGAACACGTCAAATAGGATCAGAATTTTAAACTATGTGAATTAGAATACTTCAGAGTGGCTTCTTAGTGAGCAACTGAAACAATGGTGTGAAAGATTACATGACATGTCAATTATATGTAGAATTAATGCATGACACTGATAAAAATTAACTAATAGACCTCATTAAAAGTGAGTGGATGACTAACCAGGGCTCATGGGGGCTCTCAAAGACTGAACCAACAATACAGGGAGCCTGTATGGATCTTAGCTAGGTCCTCTATTTAAATATATTATGGTTGTGTAGCTTAGTGTTCTTGGTTGATATTCCTGGGAGGCCTGCCCCTTTCTGAAGGCAATCAGAGGGGCTCCAGGGGGGAGGGGACTGGGGTGAAAGGAGGGAGGGGAAACAGAAGTCAGGATGTGATGTATGAGAGAGGAATAAGAAGTGAGTAGCTGATGGTGGTGTGTGAGCTGTTAGCAGCTACTGTCCTTCCTCTCAACGTCACTCTGTTAAAGGCTGTGAATGTAACCAAACAGCTTGAACTTCTTGGGAACTGTCCCTGGTGCTGAACCAAGTCATTTATTACCCATAACAGAAAGCTTTGCTCCTAATGCCCCAATCATCTGTGGTGCAATTCAGAGTACAATTTCACAGGCTGCTGCCTCACCTGTAGGGCACCATCTGGAAGGATTATACCTGATATTGCCTCCTATGATGCTCATGGGGCATTCTTCTTTCAAGACTGACATTTACTTTATAAAATTTAACGCTGCATTTGTCCTTCAAAATAACACATGGAACACAGAGATGCAGATTCACACTTGTGGAAACAGGAGCCTACTCCTAACATGCTCACATCTTCCTGCAACAGGCTCACTGGTGATTAAATAAAGGCAGATACTTTCAGTACCAGACTCTTTCCTAATCAAATGACTAAAACACCCTGAGGCAAAAGCCAAATTAAGAGGTAGTGAAAAATAAAGTTACTCTGGGAAAGACTGTTGACAAACAGTCATCTGAAATAACTTAGAGGGGAAAATATTGCTTGTACCCAATACAAGACTACAAGACCTAACCCATAACAAACCTATAGGATCTAAGGTGTCTACACAGAATTCAACAGTGCAGTCAGCATCATCCAACCACATGGCAGAAAGCCCAAGAGTGGATTCAAGATTAAGTGTAAGAGGGAAAGGAATAAAGTTTATAAAAAAATATTTTCACCTTCTTGGGGAAAAGACCAAGGACTTTGACATCAAAAGTCAGACTTCATCGAAAGACACAGAAAGAGACACAGGGCACATTTACTCAGAGTGTGAGTGTGAGCTAGTGTAGTCACTATGGAAATCAGTACAGAGGGCCTCAAAAAACTAAACCATACCCACAAGGTGATCCAGTTATGCCACTACTGGGCAAACACCAGATGGATTTTAAACATAAAGCTGACAAAGTGTAACCCGGGTATTTTATGTTAGGGACTATTGTGAAAAATCCACTTAAATACAGAAACACAGGTTAAAGGGAAGGACTTGGGGGTGTGGTTCAGAGGCAAAGGACTTGCCTAGTATGGACAAAATGCCGGGTTCAATTGAC